GTATATATGTGTACAGTATACATGTGTACAGTATACATGTGGATATTATATTATATTATTATGAATGAAATGCACCCTCCCATCAAGTTAGCCCAAAATTATATACCTGTATTGTATACAGTACAGTGGAACCTTGATTTATGAATGCCCCCACTTACGAATTTTTTGAGTTACGACTCCAATTTCGTCAGAAAATTTGACTCGACTTAGGTCCTTTGTCAACTTGTGATTTTGTTTATACATATATGGGTCGACGGCGCGCATGGTTCCTGGTGGTACGGGTGACCCCGCTTCAGTTGACCAGACCGCCTGCTTAGTGACAATCACACTTGAATTCTTTGTAAAGAATTTCATTGTTTTTGTGCTTTTTTGTTTTTTGAACATAAAAGTAATTATTATATATCAGACCATGGTTCCCAAGAAAGTCAGTGGTAAGATTCAACTTAAAATAGATGAGTAGAGGCAGTTCCTTCTTCGTTAAGAAAATGTGTGAAGTATGGAAAGAACTGCAAAGTTTTGTTGAATAAACTTACCCTGATAAAGATGTAGCAGGCCATTGCATTATCCTGTTTAATGACAATGTGATATCTCCCTACAGACAAGTGTTAAAATGTAGGGAAAAAACAAGTGTCTTTAAACAGATTCTTAGTAAGACAAGCAAGCAGTGAGCCACAACCAGATCCTAGTGTGGGATGCTTGTAAAATGTAGGAGAGAGTACCCCAGACAAGTATCACTGCCTAATGTTATAATGGAAGGGGACTTCCCTTCCAAACATTAACATCTCACCATCTTTAACCTGCCAACAACAGTCATCAATAAAAGTAAGCTATTACCTGTGCATACTATAGTACAAAATATGTGTGTATTATGTATGAAATGTATTTTGAAGTTAGTATTTTTGGGAGTGTGGAAAGGATTACGTAATTCAATTTACATTATTTCTATTGGGAAAATTCATTTCAAGTTAGGACCCGTCTCTGGGAACATTAAATTCGTAAATAGAGGGGCCACTTTACTGTATATAATTTGCATTCTACAAGGGTTAAGAGTTACCATTCATATGCTAATATTTCACCCTTTCTGTTTACCCATGCTCATGCACTTTGCACCAGGCCCAGACTTGTGGAATTCTGTATTCATCAAAAAGTGCAAAACACCACTATCACAGGCCCTAAACATCTTTTGGAGATGGAGCCTAGACACTGGTGTCATCCCTAACATACTGAAAACAGGGAAGCTCATGCCACTTCACAATAGAGGTAGTAAAGAAGAAGAAACAATTATAGACCAATAGCTTCAACTTCACACATCATGAAAATCTTTGAATGAGTGCTAAGAAGTAAGATTAAATATCACATGGACTCTCAATATCTGCATAACCCAGGACAACATGTACTCACCTAGTTGTGCTAGTGGGGGGTTGAGCTTTGGCTCTTTGGTCCCACCTCTCAACTGTCAGTCAACTGGTGTACAGATTCCTGAGCCTACTGGGCTCTTTTCATATCTACATTTGAAACTTTGTATGGAGTCAGCCTCCACCACATCACTACTTAATGCATTCCATCTGTTAACTACTCGGACACTGAAAAAGTTCTTTCTAATGTCTGTGGCTCATTTGGGTACTCAAGCTTCACCTGTGTCCCCTTGTTCGTGTTCCGCCTGTGCTAAAGAGTTTGTCTTTGTTCGCCCTGTCAATTCCCCTAAGAATTTTGTAGGTGGTTATCATGTCTCCCCTTACTCTTCTGTCTTCCAGGGACGCGAGTTTTAGCTCCTTTAGCCTTTCCTCGCAGCTCATACCTCTCAGTTCCGGGACGAGTCTGGTGGCATACTGCTGGATCTTTCCTAATTTTATCTTGTGTTTAACTAGGTATGGACTCCAAGCTGGAGCTGCATATTCCAGGATTGGTCTTGACATAAGTGGTATACAGGGTCCTGAACGAATCCTTACACAAGTTTCTAAAGGCAGTTCTTATGTTGGCCAGTCTAGCATATGTCGCTGAGGATGTCCTTTTGATGTGGGCCTCTGGGGACATGTGTGCAGAACAGGGTGCTCCTGCCTCTCACAATTGCTAGATCACTATGATATGGCCTTAGGTGCTATGGAAGACAAGCAAAACATAAATTCAAAATATAGATTTTGCAAAAGGTTTCGACAAATGTGACCATTGTGCAGGCGATGAGTCACAATAACGTGGCTAAAGTATGATGACCAGACCACACACTAGAATGTGAAGAGACGACAACGTTTCGGTCTGTCCTGGACCATTCTCAAGTCGAGTGACCATTGTGTTATTGCGCACAAAATGTGTGCAAAAGGAATTACTGGCAAAATAAAGAGATGGATCTTCAACTTCCTAACAAGCAGAACAGATTGTAATGGTCAACTCAGTAAATTCTGGACCAGCTACTGCAAAAACCACAGTCCCCCAAGGTATCGTACTTATTTCGGTACTTTCTCATTCGAATATCAGACATAGACAAGGATACAAACTACAGTACAGTACTGTATCATGATTTGCAGATGACACTAGGGTTTTCATGCGAGTTGACAATATAGAGGACAACGCAAACCTCCAATTGGATATTAATCGGGTCTTTCAAAGGGCCACAGATATTATGATGTCTAATTAAAGTAAGTTTCAGCTCCTTCATTATGAAAAAATGAAAATGTAAGAATTTAAATCACATATACAGCGGAATCAAAATACACTATAGAACAAGGAAGCAATGTAAAGGATCTAGGAGTAATCATGTCAGAAAACCTTACCTCAACAGACCTTTCCATTTTCTTTTCAAAAGTCACCTTTCTTTTGGGTTTCTTACTAGTTGAATCCATTACTGACATTTTACCTTGGTAAATGACAACATAGCAAATGGATGTTCATAACTATTGACGATCCTTTATGTCCACATATATATCACGGGAATGACCACCTCAGTTTCCACGTCACAAACAAAAACAAAAAATCTGAGTCCAGGTTCATTGTTGATCACATGCACACGAGGCATTCATGTGACACAAACGCAGCGAGCAGAGAGATTATTCCTTCCCTTCTGGTGACACATCCATATCACTCGCTCTCACAGCCTTTATGCAAAATTGGTTTTAATCTGTCGCTAACAACTTTATCAATAGCTTCATTCGCACCACCCAAAAATGAGAAACCTCTCATTTGTTGATAATTTGTGTGTCCGGAAAGTATGTGGTAGTCTGTAACATGTGGTTTGAGCACAATTAAATTTCAGGGAGAAAATGATGTTAATTCAAAATATACTATGCATTTAAAACAAATTTGTAATAATAACATTCAGAAAAAGAAACATTATGTTCATGCTTATGATGACTGATAATGGCACACATGCACTCGTTTTAAGGTGATGACCAGTCTAAATATTACACTTGTGCACAACTGGAAGTGGACTATGTAAAGTAGTAACATGATTAGCCTGTAAAATATATCATGTATGATTTGCTAGCATATTTCATAATGTACAATATTGAATTTTTTTGTGATGATTACTAGTGATTTTCGTATGTCGTTTTTCTCCTTAGTGATTCTCGCTTATTGGGTTTCTCTGCATGGTGTCATCCAATAAAGTTTGTCCAAATATATTGCCCCTGCTTTGCTTAGTTCTGTCTTCAGATTAGGATTCCTTTCAGTTACGTTCATATTTTTCTTACTGTATTCTCTGTAAGGACTTGCTCCTACATCTTTTCTGACATTTGCTATTTACAGCATTGAGCATTATATGTGAAACTTCTCAAGTTCATTCCTTATAGTTATTAAAGCCAGGAGCTTTTGCTTTATTCAAATGGCAATTGAATCAGGTGTATGTAGTGTAATGTATTGTAAATACAATATATTAGTATTTCATAGAATGGTAAGCTTTAGTTTAATGCTGTTAAGTATTGCTGTAACTGTAAATTTGTGTTGTCATTTACCATATTTAATGAGCCTGTTGTGGTTAACTTCACTCAGAGGGAGGTTGTACAAATTAAACACTAAAGCCACACATTAGAAGTGTGTGACTTCAGTATTTAATTGTATTCATGTTCCTGATTTACAGTAATTGCCACTTAAAAAAAAATTGCAACCTAAGCTTAATGTGATGCTGATATTTGTGCAAGTGACTAGTGTGTGTGTGCAGTTTTGTATGTGTTGTAATGCTTCGTAGGTTAATTGGTACATTTTTGCTCTTAACATTAGTTATATAATCTTTACAGGTTACAGTTGGATATTGCAAAGAGAAGATATTTTTTGGAAGTACAGTGTTGTACAGAAATAATGTAAATAAAAATGATAGGGATTGGAATATTTTTTATTATTATATATATTGGCTAAATGCTTTAAACTAACAGGTGCATGTTAAAGAATATTATGCTACAAAACAAAAGTTAAGACTTGCCTAGGTTAATCATTATGCATGCGTTATCAACCACTTCAGGAGCATGTTAAAAGTTGGCTTTTCCTATGGCTCTTGTTGCTAATACTATTTAATCAATAATTTGAGATTACAAGTTTTAATTTATTTTTCTTTTATCATTAATGTCAGATCCAAGTGAACCATGCACTTTATTACAAAGTAAACCGCATGAGATGAGTCTTTAGGATGAGCCATTTTCCATCCGATGCCTGGCATGGTGACTTTGAGTTTTGGTCCTTGAGGGTTTCTGATGAGGTGGACGTTATGATGGTAAGGTGGTGGTGGTGGTACCAGGTGGTGGTTTCAAGTGAGCATGGTGGCAAAGTGATGACTACTACTTCAGATCATACACTGCTTCTGCTCTAGCCACATATATATATGCTGTATATATATATATATATATATATATATATATATATATATATATATATATATATATATATATATATATATATATATATATATATATATATACAAACTGTATATATTTGGCCATCAGTAGACTACCCCTCCCTTCCCCTTCCCTCACAGAGATGCACATTGCTCACTCCTGGGTCTTGATTTTTGTTGCCAGGTTCCTAAGGGTCTCTCAAAAGAAATAATCTACAACAGCAAGCAATTTCGTACACTCCTGGAGATGGGTTATAAGGTGAGAAAATAAGGCCATTCTTGAGTCTGGCACTTATCCTGATACAAGACCTATTGCTGCTTCTTTTCAAATTTTAATTAGCAGAATTCATTAGAGATAATGATTCCTCAATGGATTTGTCTAAATTCAAAACTTAGTTTTCATATAGAATATCTTAAAAATATAATGATTTGCTAGATAAAAGTTACATTTGTTTCATATCAGCAAATCAAGAATTATAAATTGTGAAGAATGGCATTTTAGGGTGGTGCAGTGCACAAGCAGGGTTGCCAGTTGTGGTGGGTGGGCCCTCTTGTCGATGCACAAAGTGTAATAATGCCTTGCTCTTGGCAGACATCTCTCTTTTCATCTGTAATATTTATTCAATGTATTTTGCTTTGGTAATTTGACCAACAGTTGTGGAAATAATATCCAGAAGTGTCTCCGGTGAGCTGCTTCTGGTGTATAATTAAAATAATTAATTATTTTTTCTCGACAGGTTAATGCTTGATTATGTTGAGTGTAGCATTTGGTTTCATTGTTTCATGCAGTGTGTTTTGTCAGATTATTCTTGGTGCAAAAATACTCTTGACTTTTGCAATCAAATTCACTAAAATTGGACATACAACTAATGTAAAACAAAGGCATCGTTGTGCTTTCTGCTGAATTTGACTAACCTGGAGTTTGATGTTGGTTAATTTGGCAGAACAATTCTGTACAATGAAGATGTATATAGATGGGAACCTTTAGATGTGTGTGTGATGCTTGACATAAAGATTAACTAGCAGTAATTTAAGAGATTAAATTAAATGTAATGTGTGGTTGTGACTCAACAAATCTCATGAAATTATGATCGTGTCCCCATATTAGGGAACTGAGATATTACTTATTTAGGAGTACAGTACAACTGTAAACATATAACTGAGTAAGCAATGCTATTTGGTTGCTCCATTAAGATGTGGTGTCCTGTGGACAAGTGTCATGGCAGGCAGGAGACATTCTAGGCACTGACACCTTGATAAGCATTTCGTATGGCACTGCTTGGTCGTAAAGACGCTAGGGGTTACTGAAATTAAGCACATTATAGCCTAGAATAAGCAACAGGTAGGTACATTCCATATTAACACAAAATTGAGTAAGATTTATCACCACACATGACTGTCAAATGAGGTTTCCATTTAGGAGTCCACAACCTACATGGCTACTTAATAGCCCCCAGTTGCCACCAGATGACAGTCGTGGACACAATAAGGTTCCTGGGGTTTGAATATGAATACCCTTCATATTCATTTCTAAGTCACATCATTCTGCAGACAGGAGAAATGAAGAGAAAGGACATGATCAGGGTCAACCGAATGACAGCTCAGAGAAGTGATTTTCACATTTACTGAATTTATATTTCAGAACAATTATATTTGGCTGTTTCCTTAGGTAAACTTCATATATGGTATAAATGAAATATGAGAGCAGAGATGTGCTAACTGGAAGCTGGTGGAGGATTAGTGGAATGAAAGTATGGCCAACCCTCTATATGGTAATCCCAAAGTCTTGAGCATGGACCTCGATTAACACTCGCTTCATTGGGCCTGTGGCTGACTTGATTTAACTAGTGTTCACAAGAGCCAAGATGTACGAACTTTAGAATGAGGAATTATAGTGTGAGGATTGACAGAGTTGGATGTAACATACAAATAGTGTCGGTGAAGCAACTGGACGTATTGTATGTATGGAGAGCAGCAGGACACAGGAATCAATCAAGAATTGGATTCTCTGTGATGCACGAGTCTCATTTTTAACTAAGACTTTTGGTTAAAATGTTGTAAATAACAATAAATCATCCCTTTCAAACACACACATCTTTGCTGCTTTTGTTGCTGTTGCCAGTGGCAAGAGCCAACAAAGAGTAATTGGTAAAGTGAAAGAAAGGAACTACCCAAAAGCTAGTGGAAGATGAGAAAGTTAACATTCTCTCTAACAGCCAGCCAAGTTTCTTAGGTGCATGGAATGGACATCGAATGGGCAGAGATGGATGGCATGACTGTGTTGCATGAAAAGATGAGCTGAGAAATTGAAGCAAAATCTGAGCAACAGAGGATTCAACACTGGCATTTGATACAAGGCTCAGGTACAAGACATGTGGCCTATCCTCATAAACAAAGGCCAAAGTTCATTCCATGCACTTGCCAAACCCCCTCCCTGTTTATGAATGAAAAACGATTTACATATGACTCTCGACTGATGATGTCTGAACACTTCTGGAACAAGTGCTTCATTGACGACTTTTGTTTGAACCACAACGCTGTAAATGCTTGACCCACGTACTACAAATACAAATAATTGCTAACAGAACCTAAATTCATAATATGCACAGTATGCCAAAATATAACAATATTTATTTATGAAAAAATTCCTATTTTGAAGGAACAGCATTTTAAAATTGATGAATGCATCTTTGAGGTCAACTGCTGGATGGAATGGACTTGGTCGGAGAACAGGTTGGAGACACAAGAAATCTTGAAGAGGAACAGTTTCATGACCACACTACACTTTGATTCCTGTCATATGGAACCTTTTGGATTTGGTCATATGGATTCCTGCCAAGAACCTTTTACAGGATAATGTCACCAGCATATGGGTAGTTAGTATATACAACATACTTTAAGAATCTAAAAAAGAAAGCTTTCAAGTCCATACACCCTGCACATGTGAGACCTTTACTTGTGTATGCAGCACCAGCATGGAACCTTGTGAAGCATAAACAGAAAATTGAGTGTGTTCAGAGGTTTGCAACTAGATTAGTATCAGCAGAGGCCTCTCAATTCTACAAGGACAAGTTGAGAGAACTCGCCCCCACAACTTTAGAGGAGAGAATGAACAGTGTGGGGATATGATCTTGATATATAAGATCCTGAGAAGAATAGACAAAGTAGAAAAATCCACTTTGTATATACTGTATTTGGCTATCATTTAATTTGAGCCTATTTTTCAGGGAGCTTCTAGTCTCTGTAATAACCCTACAGAGACCATTTGAAAAATCTCCCTGTGGTGCTGTGGTATAGAATATCCTCTTCCTGACAATGTAGATCCTTGTACAGAGAACACGGCACCTGAGGGGGCAACCAAATCATATAGCTCAGAAAAGCAACCTGAATTCTTGAACTCTCCCAGATAAAAGGTTTTCATAATATAGTTAATCTAGAAATAAATAAAATGATGGTAACTGATATGCAAGAATACAGCCTAATGTATTTAAAAAGAAAACACAATTTTCTATATTTATCACTTGTTTTATTAGTGTAATATCGCTCATAAAATCATACTTGAGAAATCCACATCTAGAAATAAAACAAGGATATGCAGTTATATATTTTGCCCTACCTTGGGATCGTAAACATAAGGATTATATTCAATATGATTCATAATATACATTTGTGTTTACATTTTTATTTAAAACTCTGAGTTTCACCTCTTTGCATATGTTAAACATGATGCAAATTGACGATAATGAAAATTCTCGGCTTGCTACAAGGCTGAGAATTATTTTCCCTTCAGATGCTGATTGAGAATGACTACAAATCACCTGTGTAGATATCGGTTGAGAATTATTTAGCCTTTCAAATATGTTTATTGGTTTCTGAATGACTTAGCCCACCATATATTCACTTCTGAATGACTTAGCCCTCCATATATTCATTTCTGAATGACTTAGCCCTATGTATATTTCAGACTTAGCCCTCCACATTCATTTCTGAATGATTTAGCCCTCCTTATATTGGTTTCTGAATGACTTAGCCCTCCATATATTCATTTCTGAATGACATAGCCCCTCCATATATTCATTTCTGAATGATTTAGCCCTCCATATATTCATTTCTGAATGACATATCCCCTCCATATATTAATTTCTGAATGACTTATCCCTCAATGTATTAATTTCTGAATTACTTAGTCTCCAAAAATTGGTTTCTGAATAATTTAGCCCTCTGTATATATCTGACTTAGCCCTCCATATATTGGTTGGGAATGATTTGCTCTCCATATATTATTGAGCTTCTACTGTACAACAATGATTTTATATAGTTGATTAATTTGTTAATTGTGTGCTGTTTTATTGGGCTGTAAGTTGTCAATACAAATCTAAAATTTCCAGTATTGTTAGATTTTGATTTTGTGGATGTTGATCTTCAATTTTCAAACCTCAGGGATAGGTTTCTATTTTTCTGACATGGAACATACATGTTTTTCAGAAGTTGACATCCAGGTTGGATTAATTTGACTGATTGTTCCAGAAAAACTGTTCACTGAATATCCATAATTTAGAAGCAAAAAATTAAGATGTTCAAAAATTAAGAACAAAATTGAAGTCAAATTTCTTGGCCAATTTAACCCTTTGGCTACTTGCTAATTTGTATGCAAATTTTGTATAGTATCCCATTAGCCTGGAAGCCAATGAACCCCATCATGGGTTTATTTTTCCCAAAGTTTAATCCAAGCCTTTAACTTCATTATTCAAACCTGCATGTCTAATCTAGTGGCTTTTGTATCAGTTCAAGAAGACAATTGATTCCACTTGACTGCAACATCATTTTGTTTATCTTTACAGCTCACTTCCATCGTTCATCCCTACTGCACATCACAGTTTGGAACCTTAATGACAGCCGTGTCGTGCCCCGCCCACATCCCCCGCCTCCTGTCTGTCCCACCTGCTTTCCTCCTCCTTCCCAGCGTTTGTCCCTCCTCCTCCTCTCCCTTCCCCACGTTTGTTTCGCCCCCCCCTCCTTTTCCCTGTTTGTCCATCCCTTTTCCTCCTTCCCCTGTCCATTCTGCCTCTTCCTCTTCCTTCACCCTGTCTGTTCCTCCTCCTTCCCCCTGTCCATGCCTCCTCCTCCTCCCCCCTGTCCATGCCTCCTCCTCCTCCCCCCTGTCCATGCCTCCTCCTCCTCCCCCCTGTCCATGCCTCCTCCTCCTTCCCCCTGTCCATGCCTCCTCCTCCTTCCCCCTGTCCATGCCTCCTCCTTCTTCCCCCTGTCCATGCCTCCTCCTCCTTCCCCCTGTCCATGCCTCCTCCTCCTTCCCCCTGTCCATGCCTCCTCCTCCTTCCCCCTGTCCATGCCTCCTCCTCCTTCCCCCTGTCCATGCCTCCTCCTCCTTCCCCCTGTCCATGCCTCCTCCTCCTTCCCCCTGTCCATGCCTCCTCCTCCTTCCCCCTGTCCATGCCTCCTCCTCCTTCCCCCTGTCCATTCCTCCTCCTCCTTCCCCCTGTCCATGCCTCCTCCTCCTTCCCCCTGTCCATGCCTCCTCCCCTTTATATCTCTTCCCCACCTTTTCCCTGTCTATCCTTCTTCCTTCCTGCTGCTCATTTCCTCCGTATGGCCTTTCTGCATACTTGTATTTCATTGTGCTGTTGTGCCCGTCTTATTCCTCTTTCCATATCGCTCCCTCATCCTGGCTCTCTTGTTTTTGTCACTCGTATTCCCCATCTCTAAGCCTTTCTCTTTTCATACCTCAACTGCTCATTCCCTTTTCTCTCTCCTCTCTTTCTATTGCTATAATTTTGTTCTATACATTTCCTTTTTGACTGCTGTGTTTCCTTTTCCAAGTTTGGAAGGTGTAGTATATAATTAGAGTAGAGTAATGAATAAATTTACATGCTTATGTAACAAAATTATATTTTAGTTTGATGATGGTCTCCAAAAATATAAATATTTTCTCCTTAAGGTTAATACAACAACCTGTCCTCTTAAAAAGAACGTCGCTTTTGGCCGTTTGCCCGTATGGCCGAATTTGGACGTAATTTGAAATTGAAAAAAAATATGAAAATAAATTTGGGATTTTTTTTTCAACAACAGTAAGTTAAGGGTCCTCTGATAGGTTAGGTGGGCAGGAAATTCTCATAAAGTTTCAAAACGTTATGAAAAACGTTAATTTAAAGAGTCCTCTTATAACCTCTGCGCGTACGCCGGACGACTCAAATAGAAAACGGAACAGAACGTCACTTTTGTGAGTCGATTTCATTTCAAATTACGTCCAAATTTGGCCATAGTGCGCATACCAGCCAAAAGTGACGTTCTTTTTAAGAGGACGGGTTGAATACAAAGCAACGTCAGTCTTGAATGCAGAAGAATCGGGTCATATCGGCCGTGGACTTCATATGTTTCAGCAGTGTTTTTCACTGTATTTTTGGATGTGCCAAAAGCTTTAATCTCTTCCCATACAGAAGGAAGACATTGAAGCTGCACTTCGCAACAATAATATGGGTTTGGACGACACACTAATGGAGCTTGGCAACCGCGGGGTAACTGCTACCGGGAGTGCGAGTGATGCCTGGCGCAACCCTCCTCTAGACGAACATATTCCTTTCGATATTAACAATCCCAACTTCCAGCAACGCTTCCCTCCAGCACCGCATCATCTATTTCCTTCTCAAGTAAGTCTACATAAAGTAAATGTATGCGATAGGAATATAGTGGCTTGTTTTGTTAAACTATTGATTCATCTTTACTAAAAACAGTTAAATGCTTACTTAAGAAATTTATCCTTAGAAAATATTTTAATGTACAGTATTTGATAACAAAAAAATTGTAATGGTAAAATAGTGGTTGTATAAACTGACAAGATTCGATATCCACATTTACAGTTTTGGTATAATTCTAGTGAATGTTGTGTGTAATTACCTAAGTGTAGTTACAGGATGAGAGCTAAGAATGTGGTGTCCCATCTTCCCAGTACTCTATCATATAACTCTTTTTGAAACTACTGGCAGTTTTGGCCTCCACCACCTTGTCATTGATAATAAACAACTTGTGGAACTTATGCTAACTTGCATAAGTTCCACAAGTTTGACTGCAACCACGCAAACCATCTCTTTCCTGTAAAATCTTTGTGGCTCTATTATAGAAACGGTGAATTCGTAACAAAAGATCTTCCGGATCGAAAGCATACCATTTGTTATTATATAATTTTCTTCAGGTGTTCTACTCATTTAGTTTTAATTATTTATCCAATATTTTGACTACTACACATGTCAGTGATACAGATCATTAATTAAAGGGGGTCTTCCCTGCTGTCACTTTTGTAGATTGGAACGGTTAGCCTTTTTCCATATATTTGCCAGGACTCCTGAGTACATGGATGCCTGAAAAATCAATTGAAGTCAAATGCTGAGCTCTGGTGCACATTCTCTGTACCCAAGCAAAACTCCATCTGGTCCAAGAGCTTTATTTCTTCCTAGCCCCTCGAGTAAATTTTTCGCTTCATCTTGAGACACCTCTATGTACTCTATGATGTTTTCTGGAATTTGCATTGGGTCTGGCTATCTCAAATCCTCATTTTGCGCGCACACACACACACACACGTACACACACTTTGGAACTGTTAATTTAATATTTCACACATTTCTTTTTCATTCTTAGTGAACCTGTCCCCCATTCTCACTCTGGATTTTATCCTTTACATGCAGCTTGCTTTTAATGAATTTATTGAAAAGAGCTGGATCTGTTTTACATTTGATGACCAAACCACACATCAGGAGATGGAAAAACGATGACGTTTCAGTCTGTCCTGGACCATTATCAAGTTGTATACGTTTTACACTTGTCCACTACTCCTTTCTCAACATCACTTTTTGCCTCTCTCCTCACTGATCTGTAATTGTTTCTTGCTTGTTTATACTGCTGGTTTGTTTGAGGGTTTGGCTTCTTCCTATATTGTACCCATTTTCTTTTCTTTTCCTCTGGCTGAAATTGGTTCAATTTCTATTGAACAAGTCCTGTTTTCTAGTACAGTACTGCATCTGTTTTGGTATATATTTATTTATACCTTTATTGTATAGTTCACAGAATTTGGCATTCATCTCATTTACTTGCCAAACAACTAGTCTTTCCAATTACTTTCATTAAAGAATTTAAGTTCCCTATAGTAACCTTTTTAAAAACACAGTTTGTCAACTACTGTATTTCAATTTTGCCATTCTCTTCTAGATTATAGCGCATAGTTTATCTAATTGCCAACAGGACATGGTCACACTCTCCCAAGGGAAGAAGGTACTGAATGTCAAATACCTTTTCTTCTCTCCTGGTAAATACCAAATCCAGCAATGATGGAGCATCACCTTCTCTCATTCGTGTGGGCTGTTTTACATGTTGATAAATGAAAGATTCCCTGGTGAGGTTTACGAATCAGCCAGATCAAAAATTCTGGTTTTGCTTTATAGTCTTCCCAGTCTATCGATTTTAAATTGAAGTCATTAAGTATCAACAATCGGGATTTATGTTTATCTGCTTTTACAAGAATTTCTCTCATGATCATTATAAGGCCCTCTCTTTTGTCATCGATCTCCTCCTCATTCCATGTATTGCTTGCTGGTGGACTGTTTGCAGTAATGATTATTAGTTTTTCATTCTGACTGCAAATCTCCTGTTCTCTTATGCCTAATTCTCAAGGGTTGTCAAGTATCAATTCTTTTTCCTTCAGTCATTTCTTCAGGAGGATTGCAACACCTCCACCTTTTATAACTTTGTCTGTTGCATCTCTAAATAGCATAGCCCCTTGGGAATACTACCTCATTCAAAATCTTATAATCCATTTTAAACTTCTAGTGCGACAATATCCGGCATCTTAATTGTGTTAAACTGTATTATATAATTTAACTCCAGTATTTTTTACCTTAGCTCATCTATGTTGGGATACACAATTTTCAGGAATATGTTCCCGCCTCCTTTGTCCTTCACACTTCTTTCTTCTAATGAGTTTGTTGTTTTAATTTTGTGTACCATCTCATCGACTTCCCGATCCCTAACTGCTCATTTGGCAACGATTGTTACCGTGTTAGGTAAGGGGTTATTGTGATAAATGTGTTCCTGAGGGAAAGAGCATTGATGATTTGCAAGGGAAGCTGAGGTACAGTGTGACAGCAGCAGTGAATGATGGCAGTATGGTTAGGGAGTTGCAGGGTTCTGTGGGTTTTTTCCACAACCCTTTGCTAGTACAGTAAAGTATTGTTACATTTTGTTTTGAAATTTAAAATTTGAGCGAGTAATTTTATTTTTTACATCAAGATTGTCGATCGTGGAAGAAGTGCTGCTGTGTAGGTTTTAGAGATCAAGTATAGATTTAGTAATTCTGTTGATGACCCTGTTATAAACCAGGTTTCTGGTGTAGTTCATAATTCGAGTTCTCCAGTGCTGCATAGTCTTCCTGGCTTGGTGTCGTCTTCTGACAATTACTCATTGAATTCTTTTCCAGTGAAATAAAATGGAGACAAGAACTCATGCATTGGTGCTTTGTTTCCAACCAAGGAGGCTAAATAGAGTGCTGGAATTTCAGAGATCTCTTTCTGAGGTCTCTTATTTGTTGGGTTTCTTGTACTGATTCTCGATTTGAAGTGTCAGCTGAAGACGATATCGATATTATAGATATAGCAGCCTCTTGTCCTCACGATAAGATTGTCTCCAGTATTCTTGCCATAGACTCGAGGCGAGGACACGGGAGCCATTGGAAAGAAGTTATGTCCTTAAGCTTTGCTTTAAAAGATGTATAAGTAAAAGTAAAATGGTAGCACTGAAGCTTGCTTCTGAAATTTAGTGTTATTGTCAAGAATGGATGGCATTTATAAATAGGTTTAAGCAGATAGTGTTGATTCTTCTAATTTTCTTGACTGCAACTGAGAAAATTAACATAACTTCAGTGCCTAAATTATGGTTTTCCAGGCATCATTTTTTATTTTGTGTGTTTAGAAAAAAAAAAGACATGGCCGTTTTATATTATGGAACCCATTACACTATACAATTGTGTGCATCCAGCCATCTGTTTGTTCACACATCTGTACCTCTATTTGGCTTTATGTCCATTAACGTTTCATGTGTGGTTCCTTATTTTTCAACCAAAGTAGTTATTTTGTTGGAACTTCACACAGATGTGTGAATCAACCGGATGAAGTATCGCATAACAAATTCAGGTTCCGGCATCAAAAAGGTCATTGACACTGCCTGATGTCAGTCAAACTTCAGAAATTTTAGGTAATGTTCGTGTCCAGTCTGTAACTTTAAATGGATGGAGATATTTTATGGAGCCTTATGCTGACGTGTATCTTTGCATGACTGTGTTGTCCTGTATTCAGGTCCCTGCAGTGAAGATCAATGGCTTAGCCTGGGAGATAGATATTTTACACTTGAGTATTGAGTTAGTGTTGCGGTGGAGAAGTTATCGTATCGAACTGAAGGTCAGCTGGTCCTCAGTGTGAATCTTGACTGAAGGGGCAGTGTTTACTTCTGTTTTGATTTTTAACCAATTTTCCAAAATACAACTGCAGAATAACACCACTGGCTTGTAGAACTCCATTATTGGTCTCAAATTTCCACCCAAATGGAGATGTACCTATCCCTCTCACTTGGTGCAAGGAAGACATCAGAGCACTTTAGTGGGTTAACTTATAAAAGTTCTTATCTTGGGCCTTGTGACCTTATCCCGGGCCTTGTGACCTTATCCCGGGCCTTGTAACCTTGTTCTGACCCCCCCCTGTAACCTTGTTCTGACCCCCCCCTGTAACCTTGTTCTGACCCCCCCCTGTAACCTTGTTCTGACCCCCCCCCTGTAACCTTGTTCTGACCCCCCCCCCTGTAACCTTGTTCTGACCTCCCCTTGTAACCTTGTTCTGACCCACCCCCTGTAACCTTGTTCTGACCCCCCACCCCCTGTAACCTTGTTCTGACCCCCCGCCCCCTGTAACCTTGTTCTGACCCCCCGCCCCCTGTAACCTTGTTCTGACCCCCCGCCCCCTGTAACCTTGTTCTGACCCCCCGCCCCCTGTAACCTTGTTCTGACCCCCCCCTCCCCTGTAACCTTGTTCTGACCCCCCCTCCCCTGTAACCTTGTTCTGACCCCCCCCCCCCCCTGTAACCTTGTTCTGACCCCCCCCCCTGTAACCTTGTTCTGACCCCCCCCCCCCCTGTAACCTTGTTCTGACCTCTCCCCCTGTAATCTTGTTCTGACCCCCCCCCCCCTCCTATCCTGGGTAACCTCATCTAGGTCCATACATCATGACAGAAACTTTGCTCTTGTTAAGGATCTAATTCAGATGAATAAATTATTAGCCCAAATTGTTTCATGCAGATTTTGCTGCCAGCAGCAAAGTATGCATCTGCTGAGAATTTGTTGTGTTGTCCATTAGGTTTAATTAGTTAATGCAGGTAGAAAGTATTCCATCATGGTGGTAGTGTGCTATTTTTATTGCTGCTCTATTTTGGCTTTGTTTTATCCTTGAAATACCATTTGTCTACTTTTGCATACTTATGTAGTCATTCTTGTTTCCATACAACCTGTTTCTTGGTGCAAGCAAGTAGTAACTGATTTACTTATGTTAGCTACCCAACATAAGGAATTCCTTAGCAGTTGTTTCAAATGGTCATTCAAACATATTTTAACATTTAACGGCAGTGAAATGTTTGGGTGAAGTTCTGCATGAGACCATCCCCCATCAAGAAAGGATACATTCTTGAAAGTGGGACAAGCAATCAAAGATACATAGATTAATGAACAGGTCTAATATACTGATAACAGCCAACTTGTTTACAGCAGGGTGGATCTGGCAACTCCCCGCATGTCCGTGCTCTTATGCAGCATATCCAGATGGCAGTGCAGGCGGGCTACCTCAACCCCCAGATCCTGAACCAACCCCTGGCCCCCACCACACTCGTGCTCCTCAATAATATGCTCTCGCACATTAATGTGCTACAAAAGTTCTCCCAGCAGCAAGCCCTTTGGCAAGCTCAGGCTCACCTCAACAAAAATTCTTCACAAACTCTTCTTCAGCTCAACATTAATATCACTAAAACTAAGCAGCAAATCCAAAACTTACAGGTACTGTATCACTCTCTTTCAAATGTTTTTGAAATTTGTTTCTAACTTGAAACTTGCATTTCATGAGTTATATATGTTGAATATGGCTTTTAAATGTGTTTGCAATTTTAAACTACTATACTGAATACATCTTATCAGCCATAATTGAATAACCACTCCATAAAAAACTGTTTATATGACTTTTAGTAATGGGTATAAAATAATTGTTTTACAGCAGGAGGATAACTTGTGTAATTTGTGTGTCTGCAGAATCAGATAGCTGCCCAGCAGGCCTTGTATGTGAAGCAGCAGCAGCAGCAGCATCACCACCAACTTCACTCCCACTTGACAGGTGGTCCCCCTGGCACTCAAAATGACTTTTTCAACAAGCCCAGTCTTCCAGATCAGCTGTATCCTAGTAACTTCCCTCAGATGCCAGTCAGTGAAAACCCTCCAGCAATAAACATTGGGGTGAGTTACTCATAGAGAAATAATCAACTGAGAATACCAAAATTTCACAGCTTGCGGAAATGTCAGTTAAAATGAGTGTGAGAAAATCGGTTAATGGACAACCTATAGTTCAACAGAACTATAATGTACTGTAAACTTGCGATAAAAATAGGATGCCAAATTGTGACTATAATTTGAACATTCCTCTGGTAGAAACAGTGATGGCTTGAATACCTTGTACATGGGAATTAGGCTCACAGGTTCCAGAAAAGGACGGAATATATCTACAGAACATTGTGGAGGATTGCCAAACAGACAACTGTTTATGTGGGCTTGTAACTCAAACAGTGCAGAGTTAACAAACCAAGCAAGATTACCTTTTGAGATTTAAAAATGCAGAAGTTGTTAAACACATTGGATGTGACCTCACTGAAACTAGCATATGAGCCATAAACACTTACCCATCATCTCAAGAGGGTGAGACTGAAATGAGTAACAACTGGTGGGCCAGTCAGAGGCTTAAACCCCACCCCCCCCCCCACCCCCCCTCCCCCACAGCAGTATCCCTGAAAATTTATATATATATATACATATATATGTATGTATGTATGTATGTATGTATGTATGTATGTATATGTAAAACATCAACATGGTTGAAAGCTTAACCCTTTGGCTGTGTAAATCAATTGTTGTCAATTAAAAAAAAAAAAAATCAGACTGTACTGTATGACCTCGGTCCACATGTCTAGAAATTGCTTTCCGTATCATGTAATGTTCAACTAGGTCCTTTGACCTTCACAGTAGGCCCCACAAATTAGTCAAATATTGCTGGCAATTGACAGCAGAATCAAATGTCACTGTTTCCAGTACAGTAGAGCTGAAAATCAGCCAAGATGCTTCCTTCAAACCCTAGCACTCTGCGAGATTTTTTTTTTTTTTTTTTTATGATTTGAATGTTGTAATGTGTGTAACCAAAATAATCGGTATTGACAAAAAGGAGGAAAATGTTTAGCCATTTGTGCCTGGACTACATAGTTACTTTGTAAGTACAGTGCCCCCCCCCCCCCTCCCTCTGTACTTACGTACTTTTCAAGTGTTCTTTCTGAATTCCACAATTTTTTCACATTCTATTATATTTCATCTTTTTGAAAGAGGAATGAAGTGATAATGGGCTTTATGTAGATTACTAGCCAAATGTATACTAACTATGCAAATATTGATGTATCAAATAAAATTATCATTTTGATTTCTTATACTCTAGCAACATGGAAGCCGTTTACATCAGTGGAAGCTGCCTTCTCTGGAAAATGATGACAATGACTTCATTCGTGCTCCTGGAGCCCCAGGAAAACCTGCCATGCCACAGTCTCATTCATCTCCAAATTTAACACCTCTGCTGGGACCATCAAATAGGTAATGTTGTTTATTAAGCTGTGTGTTTCTTCAAAGTTGACATTCATAATGGTGACAGGATAATCTTTATCAATAATTTTATCAAATTTATTTCATTTAACACATTAAGATTTATTTTATTATTTTCATGTGAGTGTATTTAGCTATTTAAGTAACAGGTATGACTGATGTAATACCTGTTATATACCTGTCATACTGATGTCATACCTGTTATATACCTGTCATACTGATGTCATACCGCACCTTCGGGTGGTTTATCAGCTTTGGTCCCCACATGCACTCATCTCTCACCTGTGACTACCAGTAGCTGCCACAACCCGGTAATCCACTTCAACTTGGGGAAGGGGGGAGAACGGGTGAGGGTAGCTGATGGTTTGAGACCCTCGGTGAGTTAACGCTTGTCTACCTACACATGGGAAGACTGCACGGAGGAAACTACCATAATGGTTCAATGGGCAGGAAGGCCTTGGTGTTTGCACAACCTCCTAGATTGCTCTACCAGCCTTCATTTCCTCCCATGCATTGAATGACCTTGTAAGAGAAATACTACAAGAACCTTGAGTGATTCAGCAGTGATATATGTTCCTGCTTTTACCCAATGTTCAAATCGGTGGGATGCTCTTGTAGTTGGTACCCAACATAGATCCAACAATTCAACAAAAAAGCACAATCCAGCTGGGACAGCCCAACAATGGAAAAAATTAGCTGATGCCATGCTCAGCACCACAACATCAAAATAAGGAGAAAGCCCGCCTTAAAGTAGTGCGTGCCCCCTGTCAGGGGACTTTCTTTTGGCAGTACCCATGTCGGCAACAGGTACGCATCTAGATGCAGAATTCCTCTGTGTAGCAGCGGCTCTCTGCCTTGGTGGCGCACTCAGTTTGCCAGTGTATTCCACCTGGTGACGATCGTGCTTGAATTCTTTGTAAAGAATTTCATTGTTTGCGTTTTTTTGGTTTCTGAACGTAAAAGTTATTATATATCACGCGGTGGGCCCCAAGAAAGTTAGTGGTAAAGTTCAACCTAAAAAAATAGTTGAGTATAATGCTAGTGGAAAAACAAGAGATTATTTTAAATTTTTAAAATGTGTGTAGTATGGGAAGAACTGAAAAGTTTTGCTGAAAAGTTTCTCCCAAATAAAGCTGTAACAGGCCATTGCATTAACCTTTTTAATGACAACGTGATGTCTCATTACAAACAAGTGTTAAAACGTAGGGAAAAACAAGTGTCAATAGACAGGTTTTTAGTGAGACAAACAAGCAGTGAGCCACAACTAGGTCTTAGTGGTATGCCTGCAAAACGTAGGAGAGAGAGTACCCCAGAAAAATACTCGCTGCCTGATGTTATAATGGATGGGGGACATGGTGTGAAGCGGAATCTCATCCTCTGAGCTATCAAGAGGCCCAGTAGGAAAGATTACAGAGGCAAGAAACCCCTGCCCCCACAAAAATTTTATACTTTCCCCATTATAATACAGTGGAACCTCGGTTTACAAATTTAATCTGTTCCAAGAGACTGATTGTAAACCGAATATTCGTACACCGAATTGAATTTTTCCGTAAAAATAATGTAAATTGAATTGATCCATTGTCGTGAATTGGTCCTCATGACATGAGGACCCATGGCATGATATGTAATAAGAACTTTTCTGTTTAGAATCCAAAAAAGCAGAAAACAATGAAATTATTAACAAAGAATTCAAGTGGGGTGCCTGTGCCTGGAAAAAATAAGCTCAGTAGCACTAGAAATATGTTCAAACCGCATACCCCTAAGAAAAAAGAGAAAGAGATGCAGATTGGAACGGGAACGTCGTTCCCTATATAGGCGAAGAAAACGAATCGCGGAACAACTTGAGAGTCGCACCCTATCTCAAGAACGGAGAAGAAGGTTAGGTAGAGAAATAGAAACAATTGAACTCAAGCTACAAGAATCATACAAAACCCAGGAGAGGCAAAGAGAGCAAAAGGCCATCAGTGAAATAGAGAGAAATCCGAAATATTTTTTCTCCTATGCAAAATCAAGATCAAAAACCACATCTAGTATCGGGCCCCTGCGAAAGGGAGATGGAACTTTCACAGATGACAACAAAGAAATGAGCGAGTTACTGAGGAAGCAGTACGACTCTGTTTTCAGTGAGCCATTAAATGCACTAAAGATTGATAACCCAAATGAATTTTTCATGGATATGATACCAACATCAAATCACATATCAGACGTCGCCCTATCCCCACTAGATTTTGAAGAAGCCATAAACAGTATGCCTATGCACTCTGCACCAGGCCCGGATTCTTGGAACTCCATATTCATCAAGAACTGTAAAAAACCACTATCGCAGGCCCTTCACATTCTGTGGAGACAAAGTCTAGATACTGGCGTTATCCCTGACATACTAAAAACAGCAGAGATAGCACCACTCCATAAAGGAGGAAATAAGGCAGAGGCAAAAAATTACAGACCGATAGCACTAACATCGCACATCATAAAAATTTTTGAGAGAGTGCTAAGAAGTAAGATCACAAAATACATGGAATCACAGCATCTCCATAACCCCGGACAACATGGTTTCAGAACAGGGCGCTCTTGCCTGTCGCAGTTGCTGGACCACTATGATATGGCATTAGATGCTATGGAAGACAAACAAAACGCTGATGTAATTTACACAGATTTCGCAAAAGCTTTTGATAAATGTGACCATGGTGTTATTGCACATAAAATGCGTTCAAAAGGAATTACCGGGAAAATAGGCAGATGGATCTACAATTTCCTGACTGACAGAACCCAATGTGTAATAGTCAACAAAATAAAATCCAGCCCATCAACCGTGAAGAGCTCAGTCCCCCAGGGTACTGTGCTTGCTCCAGTACTTTTTCTCATCCTCATATCGGACATAGACCAGAACACAACCTATAGCACTGTATCATCCTTTGCAGATGACACTAGGATTTTCATGAGAGTTGGCAACATAGAGGACACGGCAAACCTCCAATCAGATGTAGATCAGGTCTTTCTATGGGCTACAGAAAATAATATGGTATTCAACGAGGATAAGTTTCAGCTCATGCGCTACGGAAAAATTGAAAATATAAAAACAGAAACCACGTACAAAACGCAGGCAAATCATAACATAGAACGAAAAGGCAATGTAAAGGACCTGGGTGTACTCATGTCGGAAGACCTTACCTTTAAAGAACACAATAAAGTAGCCGTCACAACTGCAAGAAAAATGACAGGTTGGATAACAAGAACTTTTCACACTAGAGATGCTATACCGATGATGATACTTTTCAAAACGCTTGTGCTATCTAGAGTGGAGTACTGCTGCACAATGACAGCCCCTTTCAAAGCTGGAGAAATTGCTGACCTAGAGAGCGTGCAGAGATCCTTTACTGCTAGAATCCACTCAGTAAAACATCTAAATTACTGGGACCGACTAAAGAGCCTAAATCTGTACTCCCTTGAGCGCAGGCGGGAGAGATACATAATAATTTACACGTGGAAAATAATTGAGGGGCTGGTCCCAAACCTGCACACAGAAATAACACCACATGAGACCAGAAGACATGGCAGGATGTGCAGAATACCCCCGTTGAAAAGCAGAGGTGCAACAGGTACTCTGAGAGAGAACTCTATCAACATCAGAGGCCCGAGACTGTTCAACACGCTTCCACTACACATAAGGGGCATAACTGGCAAACCCCTCACAGTGTTCAAGAGAGAACTGGATAAGCACCTCCAAAGGATACCTGATCAACCAGGCTGTGACTCATACGTCAGGCTGCGAGCAGCCGCGTCTAACAGCCTGGTTGATCAGTCCAGCAACCAGGAGGCCTGGTCGACGACCGGGCCGCGGGGACACTAAGCCCCAGAAGCACCTCAAGGTAGGGGGGATACACTGTTAAACTGAGCGTTCCTCACCCCGCTCCCCAGCAGAACCCACACACACCTGACCCATACAAGTAATGTATCAAGGAGTGAGTCGTCCTCTGGAGTAAACGTCATACACCAGGTCAAATTTTACAACGAAATTGACGTTGTACACTGAAAAATTTGTACTCTGGGGCATTCGTAGACCAAGGTACCACCCACCCTAACACCTCCCATTCCTGTGCCTCTAGTGACTTCTGTACAGGATTAATACAGTATGGCCTAATGCTGTTCCTGGTTGTCAAGCCAAAATCCTATCATTTGAATTTGTCCTTGTACTGTATGGTGAAGTTTAGCAACCAAAAATTTGGACTACATTTTGCTTGGATAACCCAAAGGTCCAGTTGAACTTGCTCCAGACGAAGAAGCTCATACAGTAATATGATGGAGTAAAGTATGTAGCTTTGTAAATCATACAGTGCCTATCATTGCTTCATTCCATGTCAGCAGGTATTTAGAAGGATAACTTGTTTAGCAGGAGCTATATTCAGTTTGCTGCACTTCATGAGTTGTTTCATAACTGATTTTGTCATGTATTGATTTCAGTACCTGGTCTCTAAATCGCACCTCTGAGACTGGGTGGCCAGATAGTAGCAGTGCTGGCAATGACAACAGCACTGGTGGTGTTGACAAGGGAGTGCCGAATATGGATTCGCAGTGGGCAACCTCCTCACAGGCCAATGCCTCGGGGTCCTATGGCCTTGACATTAAGCCTTTTGAACCTGGGAAACCATGGATGGTATGTAAAAAATTTACAGTACACTGATGAATTGCATGGTTGGTAACTGATCTATTGGTTTATATTATTATTTTTAATTTATCTAAATAATATCCGTCAACATTTCAGTTTAAAATTAACATTTGCAATCAGTAGTCAACTTTAAACTTGTTAAAGACTAAAATGATTGCAACTGTTTTAATTTCTTATCACTTTATCCTGTGTTCCACAGATGTGTGCCATACCTTAGGGTACGGCACACATCTTTGGTTACTAGGACGTTAGTTCGATCCTGCCATCCTACTCCAAAGATTTTCTTGTAGATATATCACGTTAATGTGATTTCTTTGTGTATGGATATTTAAGTTCAGATGCTGCAAAAAAATTGTTTTAGAGAATAATTTTGACTTGAGTATTGAGTATATTTGTGATCTAGATAAAGTACTGTATTCAACTTATGGGTAAATGTTCAAAACTGAAATATACATATATACTTCGTAACAACTAAATTTCAGATGAAGAATATTGAGGATGACCCAAATATAACGCCGGGTTCAGTGACACGTTCTCCTTTGTCCTTGGGTATTAAGGACTCAGAGTTGTTGTCATCCATCAGCAAGACCCCGACCACCAACACTGTTTCAGACATGACCAGCCATCTCACCTCTCTCTCACTCTCCTCCAACACTTGGAGCTTCAACCCTGGACCCGGCCACCACACCACCAACTCTCCGCTGTCAGGGTACGTCGGCATTTGTGGTTACTTAGCACGTGTAATTACCTAAGTGTAATTACCAAATTAGGTATGTGTGTGTGCGCCTGAGAGGTCTTGTCATTGGTTACTTTTATTTTGTAAATATGATAGCCACAATAGTTAAGTTTAGGGTAATGGTGTTATGTCTTTGTTGTTCTATAATAATTGTCCTTATTAATATACAATTTTAACTTCTTGCAGTCTCTCAGCCACATTCTGATATAGTAATACAAAGAAGGAACTCAGAATTACTATTTTTAGGAATACCAGTAATATGTGAAAAAAAAGATGAGAGTGTGCATGAAAATAAATTTCAGAGTAGTATTTCTTCTTCATTGTACTGTAAGCTTTCTGTGTCTACCATTTAGCCATTTTAGAGTTTATTCATTTATTAGCATCCAGTGAGTTTTCCAAGTGAAATTGGGTCATTTGGTATATTGAGTCATCAAATGTTGATGTAATTGTGGCTTGCCATATCACACTGTGTCAGAGCACATTTATTTGGGAGCTTAATTGAACATTTTTGCATGAAATGTTAAATGCTTGAACTTCCTATGGACTTCATTTTAATGTGCTTTGTGACTTTGCTTATTGTCCATCTGTCACACTGCCAAAATTTATTCATTAGGGAGCTTCCGGTGTACATTTCTGCTTGAAATTTACCATACTTTGCCTGTACTTTTACTTCCATGCCAACTAATTTTGATATGGGCCTAGATGGAATGAAGTCTTTTGGACCCAGTGGGGATGTTTAAAACTTCAGTGGACCATTTTCTAATGAGGGAAGGGTGACATTGGACTGTAGATTTTTGGCCATGAAATGAATATCAGCTTTCCAGAATATAATAGGCCCCACAGAGTAGTTACTCTTTGGCCCCCTTCAAAATTACTTTACTCTCATTGTGTGCTCCGTAGTTTACGTCAATTACATGTTAATTTATATAACAAATTAATAGGAGTTAATAAAGCATAGAAAACAAAAATACCAATGGCAGGGACAGCAAGCTGAGCAGTGGGACCAATGGCAAGAGTGGGTCATCGTGGAGCGAGACTGTCCATGAAGGTGGCAGCAATTTGGCCTCAGAACTGTGGGGTGCCCCAGGGAACAAGCTTCGTGGCCCACCACCAGGGCTAATTGCCGGTAGTGTTGGTGTTCAAAAGAATAGCGGTGTGGTCAGTGGAGGAGGGTCATGGGGGACCCTTGGCAGATCAACATCATGGTCTGGAGAGCAGCATAGGAATCCCCCAAACAGTGCCTTACATTCGGCTGCTGCTGCAGCCGCTGCTGCTTCAGGAGCCTGGACCAACTCTCAGCTGCCCTCCACCTGGCTCATCCTAAGGAACTTAACACCTCAGGTAACTTCCCACTTTTCATATAATCTTATCACAGTTACACTTATCCTAAGCTTTCAGGATCTAAGACACCAGTTAACAGCTCAAGAATGTGATATGGTCTAGACATAAAAAAAAACTGAAACTGAAAATTTTAGTTAATTACAACTTTTGCATGTTCTGCCTATTTGTGGTGAGTAACCACTTTAAATAAGGAGTGGGAGTGGGGCAAAGGTTGTATAAATTGTAATATATTGACGAGAGGAGGAAAAATGTATGTATTTACATTAGCAATGAGATTGTTCCAATATAGGTGGGGTGGCCAGAGGAGAAAAAATTAAAATGATTGGCATATACTGATTAATATATGGTCCCCTTGCAGGTCTTTTCTTATAAGGCTCATGATATTCCAATTTAATAGTTGGCTTTTCTCTATACAAAATTGAGTTCATAAGATGGGGTGAAAGTATTTAAAGCCTTGAAGGTAAAGATTGACGCTTGAAAAGTAGTAAAGGAGAATTATTATGCATATGCAATGTGCACATAACAGGCCAGCAAAATTATTGGTATGTAACTAAATTAAGTAGCATTAATATAATAACTGGTATGTTAATTGTCATTGGCTTTATTTGTCACAATAATAGCTCTTTGCTTACTCATTAAATTCGGAATCTCCAGGGATTTTTGGTTGCTGGACATATTTGCACCTTCCTCTATACTAATATTTTTGTCTCCCTTATTTATCAAATATAATCTTCTGGTCATCTCTCATACTGTCTACATAATAGGTACTGACACTAATTACTTTCATACTCTTCTTCAAAAGACAGTTAATTGCACTTTCTCAAAACATATAATGATGTTAATGTAAACCCGTGAAATAAAGATAACTATTTCATTATTCACTTGCTGCAGCCAAAATATATCCTTATCTCATTTCCTTATTAGTGTTGACTGGAACACTCGGGCTGTAATTGTCACAGTAAGGCATGATTCTTGTTTCATTTCTTTTTAGTACCTATATTCATATCCTATTTATGGTTCTTGCCTTTTAATTAGAGCTCTAGTTGAGAACTTGGTGTGTGTGTGCGCAACCCTGTCTTACCCCTTTAATGGTATAGTACTGCTCACAACATTTTAAATAGTTTTAATTGTTTGCATCCCGTGTGTTTTATATTTCTATATAAAATACATGCTACTTACTGCAAGACATTTTAACACCTTGACTACTACTGCATTTGTTGACCAGATCACACACTAGAAGGTGAAGGGACGACGACGTTTCGGTCCGTCCTGGACCATTCTCAAGTCGATTGTGAGAATCGACTTGAGAATGGTCCAGGACGGACCGAAACGTCGTCGTCCCTTCACCTTCTAGTGTGTGGTCTGGTCAACATACTTTAGCCACGTTATTGTGACTCATCGCCTGCATACTACTGCATTTATTCATGTATTCATATTAACTTATTTTCAGTTGACATACTACATGTTTACTGTAGCAAGCTCGCGCCTTTCTTTCACGATCATTCTTCTGTGTTGGGTTGGCCTTGTGCTGCAAATAAAAACTTGGTCGTGTTCCATGCTCTCACACTTCAGGTTCATTTTTTTTTTTAATTGCCTCTTAAAATTTATATGGTCCTTCCTCTTATGATGTCCTGTAAGGAAATCAAGCATTCGGTGGGTTTATACATGGTAGAATGACACAAATAACTCACTACTGTATTAAGAGTTCAAACATGGGCACAGACTTTCATGGCACCCTGTGCTTCATTAATTGGCACTCCCTATTACCTTGTTTAATAGTGGCACTCCCCTTTACTGTGCTTCATACAGTGGCACTCTTCTACTGTGGTTCATAGGAACACTCCCGTGTACTATGCTTCATTGGCATTCCCCCTTTGCTGTGTTTCATATTGTGGCGCTCCCCTTTACTGTTTCATTGTGGCCCTACCCTCTACTGTGCATAATACAGTGGCACTACCCTTTACTATGATGCATAGTGGCACTTCCTTTTACTGTGCTTCATATAGTGGCACTCCTTCATGCAGTGGAACTCACTTTACTGTTATAAAGTGCACGCTATTTCACTGTGCTTCATACATTAATGCTTCCCCTTTACTGTACTTATGTAATGGCACTTCCCTTGCTGTGTTTCATACATTGTATGAATGCTTCATACATGGGCATGCCTCCTTACTGTGTTCCATACAGTGGGACTCATCCTTACTGTGTTCTTTACAGTGGGACTCATCCTTACTGTGTTCTATACAGTGGGACTCATCCTTACTGTGTTCTATACAGTGGGACTCATCCTTACTGTGTTCTATACAGTGGGACTCATCCTTACTGTGTTCTATACAGTGGCGCACCTCTTTACTGTACTTCATTCACTGACACTACTAGTCATTATATGGGGCCACTTCTCTGTATTATGTTTTATACTATGCTATGGTACGCATTTTTGTGTGTACACATTCGCACATAATCTTATTGTGCTTTATATGGTGGCACATTACCTGTGTTCTTTGTACTGTAGTACACGTCATTTTTGTAATGTGGTGGCACGTCCCCCATTCTGTGCTTCGTACAGTGGTACTCATCGTTGCTGTGATGTATGGTGCACGTCTCCTTACAGTGCTTCTTATAATGCCACTCCGTGCCAGCTTGTTTTCTTGTTAGATCCCCACTTATAGTGTGTGCATTGAAAAGCAATTATTCTTTCGTTAAAAGTTATAATTTATATAGACTGTCTGCTGTGTTTTATGCAGTGGTGTTAGTTACTTGCACTGTAGTTAAGTGTTGGACAAGTGTACATGTTCGAGGGGAAAAATTGTCGTCTCTTATGTCTCATGAGAGTGACCTCAATAGTATCATTTAAATGGTTTTACATTAATAAATACACTAAATCAACAATTTCTTCATATCTACATCTTCCCATTTTACGCTTCTATTTTATCTTGCACATTCTTGCTGGAACATCTAAAATTATCACAATTTAATTTTCTAGTACAATCAATGGACATTTGTTGCTCTCTATAATGGATAAGGTAAATGCACAGGTCTTCTATTTTAAGCATTTCATTTAAGTATGTAGCACTCATTGATGTGGAAATGACTACATACTTGTACCTAACTATTAGAGGGATGGATGGTGGAGGGGTGAAGTTGAGAGGGGTAGTGGTTGGTGAGAAAAGGGGGGAAGAGATGTGGATAATTGTAGGTTGGTATATCAGAGGTTAACAGAAAGAGGAGGAAAGGGTATAAGTGAGGAAGGGTAAGGGAGAAGTGCAAGGTGAGGTGAGTGTATCTACAGCCAGGAAAATAATTAGGATGGATCATGAGCACATTTAAATCCAGGGATCCCACTGCAATGCTAATATTATTATTTAAATCACTGGTGCTGTCTCATGTTAGTACTGCTCGGTACTCACTTCCCCTTTCAGAGCAGGGGAGATTTCTGAAATAAAGGGAATACAGAGAGCATATACCGCATGCATAAACACAATAAAGGACCTAAATTATTGGGACCTTGTCAAAGTTTTCAAAATGTACTCTGGAAAGGAGACGAGTGTCATCAAATAATATGTACAGTATATGGAAGATACTGGAAGGCCAGGTCCTAAGTTTGCACAGTAGAATAACAACATACTGTACTGGAGCAAAAGATACAGAATGAAATATAGAATAGAACCAATGAGAAGTAGAGGTGCCATAGGCAGAGAGAGCAGATGGTTGCTTTCTTCCTAACACGACTACTTGTCTCCTTCAATTCCTTACAGAAAAATGGGTTGGTAAATTGTATAAATATGTATATTTTTATAAGTTATTTACGATTATTGTGTTAATAGCATTTTATTGTTCTTTAACTTCATTCAGGTTATATTACATAGCATTTTGTCACCTTTTCTGGGAAGGCTTTTATTGGTGGTGCCCTTGGTGCTTGCTACCCAACAAGCTCCACTCAAGCCGATTCACGCCAAGCTGTTGCAAGTTATATTAGCACTTTGTCCTGCCTGGCATGCGCCACCCAGCACAGCCCAAGGTGGGCTGAGCGTTTCGCGTCGGTACACACACTCACTAAAATTTGTATATTCTTTCCAGTTTTCTTTCTTCAATTTTTGTGCAGCATCTTTCATTTTGGTATCAAATTGTTCGCAATAGAATTCCCTTAAGGGATATATGCATAGAAGATCAAAAAGCCCAGCTTGCCACCCGCAGCAAACCCAAAATTCGGGCCAAGCGTTACCCGTGAGCAAGCACCCGCACTAAAATGTTTATAATATTTTAAGTTTTCTCACCTTAAATTTTCGTGCTATGTACTTCATTTTGGTATCAAATTGTTTGCAATAGAATGCTCTAAAGGGATATATGCATATAAGGTCAAATGGCCCAGTGCCAAATGCAGCACACACCAAGTTTGGCAGAGTTTTACATGTGAGCGTGCACCCACCACCCACACTCAAATATTTATTCTTTCCAGTTTCATCACCTCAATTATTGTGCTACATCATTCATTCTGGTAACAAATTGTTTGCAATCATAAGCCGCACATTTTAATACTATTCACATAATGATCGGGAAAAAAATGTTTTTTTAACGAATGTTTTAATTGAGGACTCGGCGTGCGTCCTCGCCCAGTCTGAGTATATTCATATACGGACACATTATGAGTTATGGGCCAGGCAAAGTGTTTGCCTACTTGGGATTAAAGGCCAAAACCTGGCCTCCTGCTGAAGAGGTCAAGCAGCAGGAGGATCATTGATCACAGTAACCAAGAAAAGTTCACCAGAAAGATAGACAAACAGCAAGGTAAACACAGTGTGAATATGGAACAGTGAAGCCATGAGATTTACAAACCACTTGGTGGCGAGACAATTTTCTTGTTAGTTCCACCTGCGCACCACCATGGGACTTCACACCATCTTTCTCAATCCACGAACCATGTCACCTCAGTCTCGTATGTTGCTCGACGCTTGTGTCTAGCATGTATACTGTTATGCTCGACTTACCTCCCATCGCCCTTC